TATCTAATGGGGCTATTAACAAAGGCGGGGGCTGCTTTCCAAGAGCATGTTTCATCTTTTCTCATCCAAGGAGGTAGAATATTCTGCCTTTTTAATATTTCCTAGAATATTTCATTCTTCTAGGAGAGGGGTGGGTGCTAACTTTCTACAGTTGCTTTGGAGCACACAAGGGAAGATGAACAAAGCATCTTTCTAAAACTCTTTAATGCAATCATCTCCACACCCCAGTATTGGTTTGTTTTCTTCATCAAGGTACCTTTTGTTCCCAAATCCAAAACACCAAAGAAGCCAACAAAATAGACCCTGAATTTTATTCAAGGTGGAGTTGTTCCAAGTACACTAAATTGGTATTCCAGAGCCATGTCTAAAATCCTAAATTGCCAACACGTTCTAACTCCCTCTGTGGGGATTGTTAAACTCCAGGCAGGGGAGAACTGTTTTGACCCCAAAGACTGTTTTGTTCAGTTTTCTCCATTGAATTATTGTACAACATTCGGATTGGTTTCCTCTGAATTGTACAAATCTTTTTTTAGGTATCAACTCAAAGGGCTTAACTGGTAGAGATTCTTTCTCTCTCTGTAGATGGAAAAGGTGACTCTCAATATAAATAAGTTGCAGTTGAGAGGTGATGTGCATATTATTATTCTGTATGAGACCACAGCACTTCTGCTGGGTGGTAAAATATTCAGCTCCCTTTTGGGTGTTGGTATTGAAAAACTATATAGATGTCTACTGACTCAATATTCACTCCCTGTCTTCATTCAATCTTTTGGTGTTACTGAACATTCCTTTCCTTTGAAGTAACTCTTCCTGCCAATCATTTACAATCCCTTATCATTTATATTGGGAAAAAAATAGGAAAAAGATGACTAGGTCAGATCAAAGGCTTCTCAAGTCTACTATTCCGTTTCCCATAGAAGCTTCTAAGAAGACCACAAGGAAGACATCAGAGCACTTCATGCATCCCAGATCGGACTAACCGTTTTTGGGCTGGTGGGCAGTTTGACAGCATGCAGGGGATGGGCACACAAAATGGCTGCCATAAGAGACTTGTCTAGACAAAAAAATGGCTTCAGTGAAGGAGATCGCCAATCCTAAACTACCTCTTTGCCCAGAAACTGACTTAGCAGCCAGAATGTTGGGATGCTAAAGGGTATTGGTGGAAATAAATATGCCAGTACTTTGTTTTGTCCAGTATATGTATGTGTGTATGTATATGTATTTGAATGTTATTTGGTGTATAGAGCTATTAGGCATCAAGGGAGTTATCTAGAAGCACCAGAACTATTACCGTAGGAGATCATGCTGTTTGTCTGTCCTTTATTCTGTTTATGAGCAATTGATCCTGAAAAGAATACTGCCATGCTAATGCATAGCCCAGATTTTAATAGAAACAGTATTGACACTTTTGAACTAGGTATTGAAACTGATTCTTGAAAACACTGAACAGCTAAGGAAACCAACAATTGGATCATTTAGCAAATCAGCCCGTAGTTCTCATTTAAGGCACTAATGACCAAGCTCAAATTATCCTACTTTGGACACTTTATGCAGAAACCCAGTTCTTTGATGCTGGGAATACTGAGAAAAGTGGAACAGAAAAGAAGGGAATGACTAGAAGTATTGTCAGGGATGGGCTGCTGGGGGTTTGTAGGGGTTCAGGAGATCCTCTAGCTAAGATTCTGCACAGTTGAGAGAATCTTCAAATCCCACTCCTGGCTGGCCCTGCCCACCCCGCCCCACCCCCTCCCAGGAGTCCCCACGCAGCCCGTTTTGGATGCAGATAAGTGCATGGCATGCATGAAGGCTTGGGGAGGGCAAAAAATGGGCCTCCTGGAAGTTTGGGAAAGCTGGAAATGGGCCTGTTTCTGGCTTCCAGAGAGCCTCCCGAGCTCAGGGAGGCCGTGTTCGCCCTCTCAGAGGCTCAAGGAAAGCTTCCAGAGCCCGGGGAGGGCAAAAACGCCCCCTCCCCACGGTGGTGCAGGAGGCCGACTAGGCCATGCTCACCATGGCCATGCCCACCCAGCAACCAGGCAGAGAAGCCATTGCTAAAAATTTTGAAGGCCACCCCTGAGTATTGGGGATGGATTTTTTATAGTGGGGATGGGTACACTGGTGGAAGATCTGAAGCAACAGGTTAGGGACAGATCAGCATGAAAAAAAAATCTGCCTATGTTGTTGCTAAAAGTCAATGCCAACTTTATAGTGCGTAATCAACATGCATAGGCATCTTATTGCAGGTGTGGTTCAGATCAATCCAATGAAGAAAAAGGATGCTTCATAATAAAAAAAGCTAGGGTGAGATCAGGAAAAATGTAATTAGGGATAAGCAAATAGAATGAACGCAGGTGCCAATCATATTGCAACATTCTATTTGAGGTCACAGTGTCTTCTCCACTTGCAAAATCTGCAAAGGATATTAAAAAAAAGATGCCCAAACCCAAGGCAAAGCTTTCTCTCTTTCTCTAGTGAGATAATTACACAAATGCAGCAATGCTGCTTATACTCCGAGAATGAGTAATAAGAATACATACAGTTTCCTTTAGATATATATACTGGTATATATATTATGCTTATATTGTTAGAGTCTTCCTGTTCTAGCAACTGTGCACCTTACTCTGTTTTGAGAGGCTTCACACTTGACATTCAAACAAATGCTTTTTGAACAGTGTTTTGTCCTACTTCTAGCTCATTAAATCACAGAGTTACACACATCTCAGAGGCTTTCCAGAGAAAAACAGTGATCTTGCTGTGAAGGGGCTGAACATCACTACCCATTTCCTGTACACAAGAACAAAAAGAAAGTTTTCCATACTATAATTACTTTGGCATGGCATACCAAGTCGTAATTGGTCTAAATACGGCTTACTGAATTAACCAAGGTAGGCTAGTTCTTGCAGTACATCAAAGTATAAACCATCCTTTCCAAGCCATAATTGCAAAGGTTACACAGCAGATAAGATACTAGGCTAAAGCCAGACAAATTACATTCTGTCTGCAATAATCCATGACACTAAAATGGCAGCAAAGAAACATAAAATGGTCTCTTTGCTGTCATATAGTGGTTTTTCTAGATTTTGTAGATGATACATGGTCGCCCTAGTCTTGTTTGATGGGTCACTTAGGACATTTCCAAGCTGAGAGGAGTTACCAATAAAAAGAGATGGTCTAAACAACCTGTGTCTCCTTCCTTAGTAGAACAAGAGGTGGGGAAATATAGGAGAGTTGATGTCTGGATCTCTCCCTTACCTTTTACAAATGGGGAAACCTAGTGATACACTTGCTCTGCCTCTCTCACAGATGCACAAACTCGATTTGGAAACATCCTAGGCCAGGGGTATCCAAACTTGGCAACTTTAAGACTTGTGGACTTCAAACACTCAGAATTCCTAGCTATGTTGAAATTGAAGTCTGCTAGTCTTAAAAGTTGCCAAGTTTGGATACCCCTGGCTTAGGCCTTCTTCATTGATCACCATGAGGTGCTTAAGTATAGATTTCCTTAATCTTTCCCTTCTTGGTTTTTTTGGGGGGGTGATTAGAAAATTGGAAAATGTGGGAAGATAACAGCCCATACATAGTAAATACAAGGCAGTGCAATTTTTCATGCACATATGCACATAATTTGAATGGCTTGACAGTTTCTGCCATACATTTAGCATTTCATAGCTTAGGCTTTCAATATTAAAAACCTACACTGTCCTTTTAGAATCTTTTAAGAGAGAGAAGCAGCATTGGCATCTAATTTCATCCATGAGAGAATCCCATTGCTTCCCAAAAAACACTAAGCAGCCTCAGGCCTTTAAGCTAACAATTTCCTCAAAGACAAAACTGGCCTCTTGGTTCCTGGAAGAGAGGTCCTGAAAAGGTGGCAGCAACATCCTAACAAGGTGATGTGGCTGGATCATTCTGCTCATTTGTGTTAGCTAGTATTTTGAAATTGCATCTTGGTTTGATGGCACCTCACTGTGTGACAAAACAAAATCAAATAAGGGGAATCAAATCCAGAATTCAGTGCTAATCCTAACCCCCCACAGAGTTCTCCCATGGTAGGGTAGGATAGAAATATGTGTCTTTATAAGGGTGGCATATTTCTCATTGAACCAGGGAGGGAAATGGTCATTGATGCGTCTTTGCAATTGCTGAAGATCCTGAGATCCTCTGGTCTGTTTCTTCAATGCTGAGTCCTCAAGGCTGAAAATGTGGGAAATGGTCTCTCTCAGTTCTCAGGATATTGTTGCCAACCTTAGCCATTTTTGTAGGAGAGGCCAGGCATGAAGCTGTCTCCTTTCAGCAGCCCAGGGCCTTAGGATCACATGTTATGATGTTCATTGCTATCTAATGAATCATTTCCAGAGCCAGTCAAGCTGTTTGACCAAGGTTTGGCAAAAACTGTTAAGCCTGAAGCAAAAAAAGGAGAGAAGAATAATCAGCTCAGGATCCAAGAACCAAAAGGCAGTATTGCAGAATAAGGTGGTTAGGAGATTAGCTGAGAAATCTGGTGATCTAATTATATAGCCAAGTAATCTTTTGGAATGAATGGGAGAAAAGTATTGCTATGAGAGATGAATGCTCTGACAAGCCCTTCCTGAACAGCCTTTCCCATTGAACTAGAATTCCTTGAATTCTAACCCCAGCACATCTGGAGGGAGACAGGAGGGCAAAGCTGCTTTAAAGGATATTTCACCCAGCTGTGGCTATAGCCACAAGCAGACGACTGCAACATGAAGGACCTATGCTTACATGAGGATGACAACAGATTATAGATATATAGATATAGATATAGATAGATATAGATATATAGTTATAGATAAATATAGATAGATGTAGATATATATAGATATAGAGATGTACATGTACATGTAGAGAGATATCTAGATAGATATTGCAAACTAAAATACCATCATATATATGGTATTTTACATTGCAATATCTTCTATTAACAACACACTAATTGACTAATTAAAGGCTGTGCACCTGCTTTTAAGACATCCATTCTTCACCTGCAAAGGAGGGTTCCTCTCCTTGTTGCTCCACCTGTTGCTGCGGTTTGTGGATATTCTCATACCAATCTGCATCTCCAGAAGAGGTGCTATCACTGTCTTCAGCAGTAAGATCTGTTGGAGAAAACCCCGAGTCTTTGAATGGAATCACAGAGCTACAATTTCTGCCCTTCTGAAGCACGCATGCTGTGTCCTATGAGTAATGCCCAGTGGCTGCTAAAGTACTCTATGATTTTGACCAATGTTCCTCCAGCTGGTGGAAGATTGCAACAACAATAGGAGATTGCAACAACTACCACCACCTGTGATCTGACCAACATTCTTCACTAGAGCCCATTTATTTGGTAGCAAGGAAAAACAATAAGCATTGTGTGGGAGATGCTACAAAACTGCTCCTCAGATACATCTGAGAGAGTAGAATAAGAGCAGCAAAGAGACACTGTTCCTTGATTTCAGGAGGGAGGAGAAAAATTCAGGATCCATGTGGCAAGAAAAACAAAAGGAATTCTTATAAGTAAACTCCCTAGAAAATGATGCAATACTGTACTTTATTTGGAGCACTAAGCCAGAAGTTTATTATTATTGTAGAGGCTTCTCCAAAAATAATGGTCATGTGGGAATACAGGAGTGTGATATCCATAAAGCATAGCCCATAAATGTGTGTGGAAGGGATGAATATTAATTAATTTTATTTGTGTTTTTTTACACCTTGTCCCAAACTAGTTTTCTCCTGATATATTGGACTTCATTTTCCATAATTTCAATCCCATATGGCAGCTAAAGTCCCAAACACTGGGAGGGCACTAATTTCAAGCAGTCTCTTGCACATTCATCTTCCAAGAGTTTAGTTGCATTTTTATAGTCTTAAAAATAGGGAAGTGAATGTAGAGATGATTGACTAAAATGTGACAGAGGAAATGGAAAACAACAACAGCTATTTTAGTCATGGCCATCCTCTTGGGAATTTCCATTGAGAGGTATACTTCCTCAGATATTGATGCAATATATAACCACCATGATTAATATCTATTGATAGTTGCATCTAATATCTAATACTTATTGCATCAAATGAGGATTTTATTTGACAGGGCAAATCAGCTGAATGAAGCCTGAGTATGCTCAATGACAAGAGAATAATGACTGGTTATTGTTCCTGGGACATAAAAATGTTACTATTGTGGAGAAACAATAGTACACATACAAGGATTTCTGCTAGTTGTCTATAAAAAAAGGAAAGCCAGCATCTGCATAACTTGTTATTTGTCTTTACATGCTTTCTCTTGACAAAAGATTTACTAGTACCTACTTGGCTGAGATTACTCATACATAGTTAAAATGGAAAAATCATTTCCTCCCCCACCCCAAACCTGAAACCCAAAATAATGAAGTCAGGGGCTTTAGCAATCTTTGGAAGCTTTTTTTAAAAAATTGTCCCTAAAATCCCCTAAAACCTTAACAGATAATCAGAGTTGGAAGGGATCTTATAGGTCATCTAGTCCAACCCCTTGCCCAAGTGGGAGACCCTACATCATTTCTGACAAATGGCAGTCCAATCTCTTCTTGAAGGTCTCACCTGATGGCGCTCCCACAACTTCCAAGGGCAAGCTGTTCTACTGTCAGAAAGTTTCTCCTTATTTCCTGGTTAAATCTCTCCTTGTTCAGTTTCCACCCATTATTCCTTGTCTGGCCTACTGGTGCTTTAGAAAATAGCTTGACCCCTTCCTCTCTGTGGCAGCCCCTCAAATATTGGAAGACCGCTATGTCTCCCCTGGTCCTTCTCTTTACTAGACTAGCCAAGCCCAGTTCCTGTAACCGTTCTTCATATGCTTTAGCTTCCAGTCCCCTAATCATCCTGGTTGTTCTTCTCTGTACTCTTTCTAGAGTCTCAACATCTTTTTTATCATGTAGTGACCAAAACTGGATGCAGTACTGTAGGTGTGGTCTTACTAAGGCTTTATAGAGTGGTATTAGTACCTCACTTGATACCTTTAAGTATTGCATGTGAGATCTAATTTTATTGGGAAATGATGTGCTAGACAGCAGGTGGGAGATGGGGAAACCCATATCGGCATTCCCAATTTTGTGTCTTTCAGATACATGTTTGGATTATGTAGACTGCAGTTTCAGGCAATAATATAGTTAAAAGCTGGGAAATTGGGTGAGCTTCAGTTTCTTAATGTATCTGAATGGCAAAGACTGGGAAACATAGATAACAGTATAAGATAGTAATAACACCACAGCATAGGTTCTCCCAAATGTTATATCAGAATCCGAATCAAGCTGCTAAAGGACAGTTTTATACAGCTATTGTTTCCACTTCTCAAACTCTCAAATACTATTAGAAGGTAATCTATAAGGATTCCCACCACCACCACTTCTGCCAATTTGAAATGATGAATACAAGGGATGGAAATCATTGTTCCATCCCAAGGTGCTATGGATTGGAAAAAACTTTGTCCTACCAAACACTTCGTACAACAGAGAAGGAAAAAGAATAATAAAAAATAATCCAGGATCTTGGAACTAGCTAAACTGCCCCAGTGCTAAAAACAACCAATGGATCCTCATCTATCCCAGAGGGTATAAAATGTGGAAAGATATCTGGATATAGTAACAGTGAGGAAGAACTGGATATGGTACAAAAAGATAAAAAACGGCTCTCACCCTGTTGTCGATAATCCTTGGGATGTTTGGTCTCCTGGCGCATTGTCAGTTTGGGGAAGTTGTGAGGTGGTGAAACTTGGTCACCAGTTACTTGGTAGTGAAAAGAAGCTGAAAACAGAGTAATAGTCCATTAAACTCTTAAAAATAGATCTTGCGGGGAGGGAAGAATTGGGTCGTCACACCCTTGCTTATTTCCTTAGAAGTTTTAATGCTGGGAGATAATATCACTTTCAGGAAATGAGCTATTGCTCAAGCCTTGTGATTGTACAATTAAAACCCTGTTTAACATCAGGCTGCTGTAGATCTTTAAATATATCCGATTTCTGATAACACTTGTCAATCTGCAGCATTTGCAAGGAATCGCCATTCCATCAGAAATTTTCTTTTCTGCTGAGATGTAATGGATTTTGTCTGCTAAGGGTGATGTTGTGATGGACTACAATGAAGTGACAATTTTGCAGAAAGGCGGGAGCACATTCCAAAAAGGGGGAAAAGACAAGGGACAACACAGCATGGAGTGGGATTGTAGAGAAAGGAAGAGATTTAGGATAGTCCCTTCGTAGACTCTCCTAGGGTACATCCATTAGTGTTAGGGTAGGATAGATTTAGTCTGGCAAGATTCTGTCTATTTGGTGTGAATGAATAAATAAAGAACTGAATTTGACTGGACTTAAGTCTAGAATCTAGGTCACTTTGGGCTGGGTCTGATATCAGCAGATGAACAAAGAGATCTGCTGGCCAGAAGGGAGTGTCTTGTCATGCTCCTTCAGTTTCTCTATCTATAAATAAAAATAGAAGATCTGTTTATGGTGCTCATCATGCTGGATAGGCATCAAATCCCCTATTCCATTAAGAGTTTTGGTTACTCTATATGGTTGAAGGCAGGGCATGCTGGGTATTTTCCTTAATAACTGCACACTTTTGATCCATGCAACAGAACAGAACCTAATGAAACACTGCCATTTCTGCAGCAAGTCTTACTGTTTGGTTAATGGATTGCTTATCAGACAGAATGCTCACAATTAGTACTGGGAATAGCAGGCCATCTCAGAATGGAGATGTCTGATTATTATATTTAGGTATAATTTCTGCATCGTTATTGACTGATGTCTAAAATGTGTCTTAAAGACAGTTGTATAATTGCCAGGAAATAAGGCCATTTTACATGTGTTGCTCTGACTGTATGTACCCAAGATTGGGGTTAAAATAAAGGTCTGGGGAAGAAGTAATTATCTTGGGAAAGAAGGCCTTTTCCCCCCTAAACCCAGGAAGAACACCTCCAGGTTTGAAGGAAAAATACTTTCTATAGCTCGGTACAATTTTAATAGAAATCCTTCCTTGGTTCTTTTTCATCATAGAAACTACAATGAAGGTTGACCCTGAGTTTTGAAGAAAAAGGATCTTACAGACTGCCTCAGTCTTTGGAATAACACAACATTCAAGTGCATATAAACTGGGGAGAAAGATAGCCAAGGGGGGTTGCTCACTATAGAAATTAGAGAGAGGCACAGGGGGCTTCTTGCTGAAATCATAGTCTTCATAATCAGAATCAGAGTCTTCATGGGCTGCTGAAGGGGTCACATCTGTTTATGGAAGAGAGAAGAGAAACAATTGTCTGAGGAAACCAGCAGAGTTTAGAAAAGGCAGCACCTAAAATACTCTGCTATGGTGTAGGACTGGCTCTTTAAAAGACTGGAGTCGCAATTTCAAAACAAATCTTCATTATGCAGGTAGTCAAAAATTTATGTTGCTAAGTGAAACATTTCTTAAGTGAATTTGGCCCCATTTAATGACCTTTCTTGGCACAGTTGTTAAGTGAATCACTGCAGTTGTTAAGTTGTTAAGTGAATCTGACTTCCCCATTGTCTTTGCTTGTCAGAAGGCCGCAAAGTTGATCATGTGAGGCCAGGACCTTGCAACTGTCGTAAATATAAGTTAGTTGCCAAGTGTCTGAATTTGAGCATGTGACTATGGGGATGCTGCAGTGTGAAAAAATAAGGCACTTTTTTCAGTGCCATTGTAACTTTGAGTAGCCACTAAGTGAACTGTTGTAAGTCAAGGACTACATGTAATTACCATACATTATCATGGATGGCCCTTGGATGTGCTCATAAAACTAATTCATTTAAAGGGATTTATCAATATTGCGAAACATGGATTTCAAGAGAAAAAAGCTAGTTGGATTATCAAGGATTTTCTTTTTAGCATTAAGCACTTTTATGATTTTTATGATGGCTAGAAGGGATTTTATATATGCATATATGTGTGTGTGTGTGTGTGTGTGTGTGTGTGTTTTCTTAAGTTTTCGCGGGTACTTACATGTATGGTATTTAGCTTTGTTCGGGTATTTTCCCATGTCATTATAGTTGTGCTTTTAAAGTTGTAGCAACGTTTCAGCAGAATCTCATCTGCCATCATCAGGCTTCTGTATTGTGTTCATCTGTGAGTCAGACTTTCACAGCCATTCCTGTTTTAAATTTGGTGCTAGCCTACTGCTGTGCCACCTGGGCACAAACAGACCCCACCCCCCCATACCTTTAGCTCAAACACACCCCAAACAGGCACCCAGATGAAACCTAGCTTCCTAATAAATGATAGCCATCTGTTTACTCAAAGCCAAGCCACACTAAAAGCCTCCAATACAGGAACACAATGTTGCCAGCCAATCAAGACAAAAAAAGCTACAAAACAGACAGAATATATTAGAAACACCAATCAAGCAGAACACAGCAAGCTCCAAGACCAATAAACACAGACCAAGACTCCCAACCAATCAGGATGAAATAAAAAACCATTTGAACACAGCAGTAGGCTAGCACAAAATTTGAAACAGAAATGGCTGTGAAAGTCTGACTCACAGACGAACACAATACAGAAGCCTGCTGATGGCAGATGAGATTCTGCTGAAATGTTGCTACAACTTTAAAAGCACAACTATAATGACGTGGGAAAATACCCAAACAAAGCTGAATACCATACATATAAATACCCACGAAAAGAAAACACACACACACACATATATATATATATATATATATATATATGTGGATCTTTGGTTGTTCGGGTTTTCTCCCGCGTAAGATTCAAAGTATCTAGGCAACGTTTCGATGAAGTCTCATTCATCATCTTCAGGCTTCTGTCTCCGGCTCTGTGCTTCTCAGAGTAATGGAGATTGCAGCTGCTTCCTCCTTTTAACTGCCAGTGGGGGTGGGACTTGATTGGGTGGGGGCTTGGCTGTGTTCTGATTGGGTGGGGGTGTGTTCTCATTGGTAGGGGGTTTGGCTGTGTTCTGATTGGTTGGGGGGTTAGCCGTGTTCTGATTGGTTGGAGGCGTGTTCTGTTCAGGTGGGGGCTTGGTTGTGCTCAGGTTAGTCTTAGTTGCTGGGGGATTTGAGCTGGAGAGTTGTGATCTTGCTGTTTGGCTTCTAGTTCGTGGTCCTGCTGCATCTTCATAGTGGGTGTCGGTTTGCTTCATGTATGGCTCAGAGGGGTTTGAAGTGGGTAGTGATGCAGCTGTAGTGCAGCTTCTGGTCCATGGTCGTGTCTCATCTTCTGAGTGGGTGAGAGTCTGTTTTCTACATGGAAGTGTGGTGGTGGCATCTTGTGTGGCTCTCATGGGTGTGGGTCCGGTGTCCTTTTTCATGTTAGGTACTCATCTGTTCATGAGGGCGGGTTTCCAAATGGCTGGAAGGCGGGAGGTGTCATCTCGTTTGTTCATGCTGTGTGGGCGTTTTTCTATCTCTATGGCTTCTCTGATTATTCTGCTGTTGAAGTGTTCGGTTTTGGCGATAGTTCTGGTATTTTTAAAATCAATTTCATGTCCTGTGGCTTTGAGGTGTTGGACCAGGGAAGAGGTCGTTTCTTCTTTTTTGATTGAGTTCTTATGTTCTTCAATGCGTGCACTTATTCTTCTGTTAGTTTGTCCAATGTATGTGGTAGGGCAGGCAGTGCAGGGGATTTCGTATACTCCTTAGTTTTCTAATTCGATTTTGTCTTTGGGGTTTCTTAGGATGGTGGATATTTTTCTGTTTGTGCAGAATGCTGTTTTGATGTTGTGTTTTTGGAGGATCTTGCTAATTTTGTCTGTAGTGCCTCAAATCCCCCAGCAACTAAGACTAACCTGAGCACAACCAAGCCCCCACCTGAACAGAACACGCCTCCAACCAATCAGAACACGGCTAACCCCCCAACCAATCAGAACACAGCCAAACCCCCTACCAATGAGAACACACCCCCACCCAATCAGAACACAGCCAAGCCCCCACCCAATCAAGTCCCACCCCCACTGGCAGTTAAAAGGAGGAAGCAGCTGCAATCTCCATTACTCTGAGAAGCACAGAGCCGGAGACAGAAGCCTGAAGATGATGAATGAGACTTCATCGAAACGTTGCCTAGATACTTTGAATCTTACGCAGGAGAAAACCCGAACAACCAAAGATCCACATACAAATACCCGCGAGAACCTCAGAAAACAAATATATATATATATATATATATATATGCTATATATGCTATATATGCTATATATGCTATATACTGTTATTGTTCTGTTAGCTGCTGTTTAAATTCACATCAAGGGTTGTCATTTAACACTTTTTGTTTATTATTATATTGTTGGAAGTTACGATTCCTCCTCTTCTAGGAAAATAGCTCCCACCCTTTGTCAAGTAGGGCTGTTAAAATAGCTAGAGCCAGCTTACTTTTCACAACAAAGGAAGGAGAAAATTACAGGCATGAGATACAGAGAAAAAACCCTACAAAGTAGTTAAGATCCTTTCCCATAGAAATCAAATAGATGGCAAGCTATAAAAAAAAACTTGTGAAAAGCAAACCAAAAGGCATGGCAGGAAGGAACCATGATAGCAAACAAGCAACTGCAAAGGATCAGGACCATAAAACCAAGATCCCAGGAAAAGAGACAGGAATTCAACACAAACAAATCAAAGACTTCACTTCCAAATCAAAGGACCTGAAAAAGTATAAGAAAGGGGTTTTCTTACCCACTTATTAGATTAATCCTAGGAATGCTGTGAGATTTCTTTTTACCTGCCTTCCTATTAATAAACTGATTCTGACTTTCAACGCAGCTGACCAAATCATTTTGCATTTCTCCCAGCCAGGAAATTTGAATCCACAAAAGGAAAGAACTTTGCCTATTCCTTAAAGGGCAAGGCTTCTTTTTTCTTTTCCTCAGTATTATGCACTGTCATAGGCGGACGTGTCAGGGCAACGCAAATATACATTTGATATTCCAGAGGTATTATCTCTCCTGGTTTTTTTTTTTATTTCTTAGCATTTTTCCTGAAGATGCCAGGTGTAGATTTTTTAGATCAGCCAAACGTTGGTTCATTGATTATGACAAGAATTGACCAACCAGCTTGTCATCTAAGTGTGATATTATCTCTGCTAATATGTTGAAATAAAAGGAGACTTGTGGCATATTAACATTTAATCCAACTGAATCCAAGTGAAACTCAGTGGATACAAAACACACATTTTCATGAACATTTCTTGTTCATTTTTTTTGTCCACTAGTAATTTCAGCAGATTATTTTGGCCATTACCTGTCCATGTACTAATGCTGTACTCACAAGAATATCCTCAAATACATTCTACATTATGTGTATACGTATGCACAGCTGTGCATGTGTGCCTCTGAGATAGTGTTGGTTCCTGGTGAGTGCCTGGACAAATCCCTGCAATTTTCTTGGCAAGATTTCAGAGGAGGTTTGCTTTTGCCTGCTTCCTAGGGCTGAAAGAGAGACCCAGTTGGCTTTGTGCCTAGGGCAGCACTAAAACTCACAGTCTCCCAGTTTCTAGGCTATTGCCTTAAAATGGATCTCATTCTGCATGATATAACTCTACAGTATTCATTATTTAACAGTTTAGCCATGTTTTTATAGATGGTTGTGAGCCTCCTAGAGTCACAGTATGAGATAGGTAAACATATAAGTCCTGTAAATAAACGAATGGAATTGTGGGTTAATATTTATGTAATTGAGGTTGATTAAGAAAAGTTCCCAGAACCTGCCTATATGAATTTATTTGCTGTTGGGTAAATATCTTTTTGACATGACATTGAATTTATATTTGATCTCAGTTGTTTTGGTTGTATTCATGAATCTATTCCTAATATATTTCCTCTATTTATACAAACGTCTCCTTGAATACAGCATTGAAAATAGATGATTAAAAGGGTGTATCTTTAAGATTAAATATGTACCTTTCTGTATATCTCCCATTTTCACCAATGCCTCTTTTTCTGGGTTTTTGGATCAGAATGAACAGAGTTCCCAATCTAAAGGGTTTTTAATATATTTTACTTTTAATTGCTTTTTTTTTTTTGCTTTAGTTAGTTTTTAATGTTCCTTGTTCTTTTATATTTATTGATTCTTATGTTTTTGTATTTGGTCTCCAGAATCATGTTGTCTACGTTAGGCAGCCATATCAATGCTTCAAACAAACAACAAATACTGATTTTAATAATATTTGAATCAGTGTAATTTTAATGTTTTAATATTTTAATTATTTTTACTTTCTTTATAATGTGCAAGCTACCCAGTGGCACCTTGTGAAGGGAGATGGGCAGCATACATATTTAATAACTAAAATAAAAATTGATCTGATGCAAAAAAAAAATTCCCAAACATGCATAAAGTACTCTAACAGAAAGGACTGTTAAGCATTCTTTGAATTTAACATGCACATTTTCAGCATTTGGCTGAGAATTGGGGATAGAGCTGAACAGTGAAGACTTTCTACCCAGACAAATACTACTGGTAACTTAAAAGGACAGATTTTCCCCTGAGAACCTCAAAAGTTGTTTGTTGGCTAGTTTGCCTGCTGGTGTCCTACAGCCCACTATGGACAACCAAGTCTGATGAAATTCTAGCCTAATTGATCAGAGCTGGAAAAAAATTAATTGTCCAGGAGCAAACAAAAGGAAAAAAGTGAGAAGAAAGATAGTAAAGATAAGAGAACGGGTTCAGGCAGGCAAGAGCTTTTAATACCTTCTGTTTTGGGGAGGCTGAGGGAGACATCTCCTCCAGTGGTTAATTTCTGTACCGTGTGATTCATCAGGACGGGGACAGATACCGGAGCAGAAGAAATAACACAATCTGCAAATCAAAAGCTCACTATATAAGATCACTGGGAAAAGGCCCCCCAATCTCTTCTTTTACCCATAGGTTTTCTTGCTTTCAGAGGACACGTCTGTAGTAAGATCTTATTCGTTATATACATCTGTCACAGATCTATGTATTCCACTTGCTACTTCACTAGCTACGCATCTGCCTACTTCAGTTGAAAAGCACATGACAACATGCCAGACACTAGTAGGTTGAAGGTGATTACAGCTAAACAGCACTTTGACTTTGATTTCCATCTGGAGCTTTAGAGCAGGAATGGAGCACTTGACTGTTTGCAACATGTTGAAGAAGCCGCAGCCCTTCTTGGAATATTAGAGCTATGTCACTTGGCTGCTTTAAGGTGGTCTGCATGGGTGCATTCACACTCCCATAAGCTCTAATGCATCTTTTGGCAATTAAATTCAAAGTGTTGCACAATCTTAAGCAGTATTGCATTAAAAAAAACCCACTTCTTTTATCTCTATATTCCAATACAAATAAATCCGACCATGCAGGTATCATAAACAGGATAATATAAAGGACCCTGAGAACTAGTGGCTGCATTAAGTAGATCTGTAGAAAGGCTCTCTCAGCCTCTTGGCTAATTAGTTATATTTTGCGAGATGTGCAGCTATATAAATATGCACATTCTTTTAGCAGATTGAAATTTCCGTTCTAGCCTAATGGAGGTTTTCAGAAATGGCACACCTATAACAGCACGGAGCTTATGCTGTTGCTTGCTAGCTGTAGGAATTCTTTGCAGAAAGCCTTCACAATTACTTCATTTCAGCAAAAAGGGAATTGGCTCATATTTCAAATCACAGTTTACTCCAGTGCAATGCCCTCTAAATAAGACACATTAAAAATCCCATCCCACCATAGTTCTGAAACTTTTAATATGTTGTTCTCTCCTTGCTTTTTAATCATAATATTAATATTTTTACTTGGTTTATTTTTAGATTACTGTTCTATAGGTATTTTGTTAATTGTAAGACATCCAGAATTAAATTTTGCGAGATGTGCAACTATATAAATATGACGAATGAACAAATGAATAAACAAAATATTCCTTCTAAGTCACTTCTCCCCCCCGTCCCCCAGCACTTGTGATCCCCAGGACATGAAAAGTACCATTTTTCTTCTGTCTTTTCAGCAGAAGGATAATAATCACAATGCTCAGAAAAAGGAGAAAACCCAGAATGATGCAGGTGATCCGCAGTTTCCGATCTGGTGATGTTGCTTTCAGTTCTTCAGGAGTTGTTAAAGCTGCAAATGGAAACATTGATAGAAATGAGAAAATGGAAGAAGAAAGCTGCTTTCTGAAGCCATGTCCTTGACTTACAACCACAACTGAATCCAGAATTTATGTTGCCACATTTCTTGCCACATTTGTTTAGTGAATCACTGCAGTTGTTACATTTGTAATGTAGTTGTTAAGTGAATCTAGCTTCCCCGTTGACTTTGCTTGTCAGAAGGACATAAATCACATGACCATGGGGATGCTGCAACCATCATAAGTGTGATAAATGGTCATAAGTCACTTTTTTCAGTGCTGTTGTAACTTCAAATGGTCACTAAATGATTTTTTGTAAGTCGAGGACTACCTACTGTATATATGTGAGGGAGAGTCCAAACCTCTCTTCCAAAAATAAGTTTTTATTTTTCTACTTCAATCCCAGGATGCTTTAAAAGGTATTTAAAAGGCCTTTAGGTGATATTTTGGAGCTTGCAAGTTATCCAAGGATGCTGAGGTGATTGTGTCTTTCAATGCAAACCTTCTCTATCAGAGCTGTCCTGATCTGAAAATAGTAGTGGGAATACTCTCATATATTTTCCTTTGCAAGTTAGCTGGAGCATGGGAAGATAGGGACTACCAGGTGTCAGAATTGAGACTGAGGAAGTAAAATTTAAGTCCACTCTTAGCTATGGAAACTTTCTGGGAAATATATGGGGAAGCTGAGCCATCCACTGCCTGCAAAACCAACTGCATAGGGTGATTTTACTGCAGAGAAAAATGAGGGCAGAATCTGTAGGTAATCAGCCTTGAGGTTTTGGAAAAGACACAGGGTAAATATTTTTGTTTGTTTCTTTGTACCTCACCTTTATTATTTTTACAAATGATTTAAGGCAGCAAACATATGCAACACATTTTTCTTCTCCTATTTTTTTTTCACAGCAACCCTGTGAGGTGAATTGGGCTGAAAGAGAGTGACCGGCGGAAGATCACCCAGCTGGCTTTCATGGTTAAGGTGGGACTTGAACTCATGGTCTCTCATTTTCTAGCCTGGTGCCTTAATCACTAGACCAAACTGGATCTCTTTTACTCTATTTTCTATTTAATATAATAAAATGATTACTCCCTTTCATCTCATATCTAAAATATACGACTCTTACTTTTCACTCATGAGAATTTCTCCAAATATTTTCTTTATTTAAAAAGAAAATCTGAAAAACAATTTCTGTAACATCAGATTAAATGAGAATCCAGGGAACAGAAAATTCAGAAGAGATCTCTAGTACAGTGTCAAAAAAGATGCCCATAAAACGTTATGGTACTGCTTTTATTATAATAACATACCCAGCTAAGCACACAAACCTGATCTGTAAGTACCAACATCACCTTGAAGACATAGACTAAGAATGGGGTTGAGTAAGGGAGATGCTTTGACAGAAGTCTAGTCAAAAAGTAGCAGTAGCTTTTATCTGAAAAATAATGTGGAACACTATAGAAAAACCCGAGGATTATTAAAGAACATTGATTTTATCAGGATGTCCTGAAAGATTGCATCAATAAGACCAGACAATTTCACAATAGAACAATACAAGTATTTCTACCTGCAGCACCCACAGAAAGCCATGATGAGACTAACATGGTAGACACACAATGAAATCATATGCACCCGTGACACATCTGCATTCCGATATCTGATGCAAGTATGTTAAACAGTAGCATTTATATGAAGTTGTTCCCATGCATGGGCCACCATAGGCTTTTCCTGCAAACCATGCTGAAAACACTTTCAACAGCTGGAAACAGGCAAGCCAAACCACAACAGCCAAAGAGACACAAGTTGTTTACCCCACTCATTTCTCAGTTTATCTTGGTTTAGAAAGGTGTCTATTACAACTGAAACACTACTTGGGAGGATAATACAAGATCAAAAGGTCAAGTTCTCCTACACTGTTGGGCAATATAAAAACATACTGTAAGTTTGCTTTTTGTTCCTCAAAAATTGTTCATTTTTATTTTTATCTAATATTATGCTTGTTTGGACATGGATTAATGAAAACTATCTGGTAGAAAAAGTATCATAGAGAACATAGGCTGAACAATTTCTCCTTATTCACTTATTGCATTAATATATTGCTAAATACCTTTAGCCAGATATTCAGCTGCTGCCTTCATATCAGGATATGAACTATACAATCAGCCACCCAGAGTTACCCTGGGTAAGATGAGTGGCCAATACATTTTACAGATAATAAACAAACCAAATTTTAGCTTTCCCCAGTACTGAAGCTCCAGATTGAGCTCTTCTCTTGTTTCCCTTTCCTTTTTTCCCCATATTTATTTATTTCTTCCTTGGGCAGAACATATTTTTCAGTTGTCCCTTCCCTTTCCAGGACCCTTATATTCAATGCTGCTCATTTAGTGGCAGCCAGGGTCACAATTAGATTTGCACAGATAGAGTGGGAGGTCAACATTTTTAGTTATAATTATTGATTATTAAATAATGTTAATTATTAAAACCAAAGTGGTATATTTATTTCTTGTTTAATCTTCAGCAATTAAATGAATACTGGCAGTCCTCAAGTTATGACCATAACCGAGCCTAAAATTTATGTTGCTAAGTGAAACATTTGTTAAGTGAGTTTTGCCCCATTTTACGAATTTTCTTGACACAATCGTTAAGTGAATCATTGTATTTGTTAAGTTAGTAATATGGTTGTTAAGAGAATCTGGATTCCCCTATTGACTTTGCTTGTCAGAAGATTGCCAAAGCTGATCCCATGACCCTGGGACCCTGCAACCTTCATAAAGATGAATTTAGATGCTAAGCATCTGAATTTTCATCACATGACCATGAGGATGCTGCAATGGTTGTGTGACAAACAGTCATAAATCACCTTTTTCAGTGCTGTTGTAACTTCGAATGGTCACTAAATGAACTGTTGAAAGTCAAGGACAACCTGTATATTAATTCGGGGAGTTGTAGAAATGCATTTATGATTCTAGGGATCATTCTAATGCAAACCTTATGAAGCACCAGTTCAATCTAGTACCAAATGTCAGTCAGTTTGGAATTTTGCTTCTGGCTTTTATACCACTAAGATGAATTGGGACTAAGATAAAAGATATAGTTGAGAAAGAAAGAAAAAGCACTGCTCAAAGTGAATTTGCATGTAGCAAGCTCTTCATAAGCAGGCAATCTACAATGACTTTATTTAAGCAACTGCACTGTGTGCAGTTGAAGTACTTTAAAGAGATTCTACTTACTTATACTGGGTAAATGGGAGACTGAAGTCAAAGTTTCTCTTTCTGTTGTATCTGTAGGCGTCTGGATAGCCAGTGAGCCTGAAATTATAAAATGATACAAAAAAATAAAAAATAAAACCAATGAACACTGAAGAAGTGAATCAGTGTCAGATTTTTATTGAAATTTTTACAATGAGCATAAAAACTAACACAAACTAATAACAGGTAAAGGCAGACAAGCGGAAAAAAGTCAAAATGCAGAAAGAAAGAATAGAAAGAAATAGAAAAAAGAATTTTCTGATTTCCTTTGCAGCTAATATAAGCACAAATTACATAGTTATCTCTTATGCCTTGATTACAAAAGAAAGTTCACTCTTTTTTATTATACAGGTTTGTTTTTTAATCACTGAACCACAAATCATAAGTGAATTTAGACACAGTTTACTCTCTATAATCAAAGAAATTAAGTTCCACAAGTTCCATCATCTTCACCAACCAGTTTCAAATTTAAACAAATAAGGATATGCTGAGTCTTAGCTTTCCCAGACTATATATTCTAAAATAATTGTGTGCTCCAAGAAGAAACAGAATTCTCCTGGGGAAAGCAAACCTTAACTCCAGAGCCTCAGAATCACAGAGCATGTATGGGTTTTGCACCATGAGCATTGTTGTATGGATCAATAGACCAGAATCAATAAAGGAATGAAACACATCAGAGAGTTGGAGCAAAACAACCTTTCCAATCAAAGCCAGCTGAAACCTCCTACAGACCACAATAGCTAATATGATAGCAGGTTTCTCACTTTCCAAACAAGCTACTTTGGCTAACCTGTCACACATTTGCAAATTAGGACATTTGCAGATGGTGATGGCAAGACAGTTGCCAAGTGGCCTCTCATGTGCCCTTGCCAGAAAAACCAAACAGCCTCATTGTATGAATTATATGCTGTAGCAAAAAAAAAAAAATCATAATTACCATCATGCAGCACTGATATGTAAGCAGACAGAAGAGATGGCATTGATGCCTCTGTCTTTTAATTTAATCCTTGCCGTTTGCCTTTATTTTACCTATCTACTTCTATTAATCTTCCCTGCTTTTTTGTTCTTCTCTTCTCTTTTCCTTTCCTTTTCAGGTTTATAAGAGCACAGCCACACACCCACTGTTTCCCTGTGTCTTTAATTCTGCTGACCTGAAGTGTGGAAACAAAGAGCAAGTATGTGCATGGATAGGATACTCACTGGTCCTGCAGTGGCCAACCCCACCCCCCCCAAAAAAACAACCCACCCCATTTCACATTATAGGTAAAGAAAATCATTTGCCTATACTCCTACATCCCTATTACTTCACATTTCATTTGTCTGACTGTCTGTCAAAAAATCCTGGCAGCTCCCCTGAAGGCTTAAGAACTGTCAAGCCACCTTTCCTCTTGAAAGAACTGCTAGCATGGCTGCAGCCTAAGTGCCAAGTAGTGGTGTGTGGATGTAGCTCTGTAAGCAAGGAAAGGTTGGTCTATATAAGTTCTACAGAGCTGTAATGTGGCCAAAAAAGCAAATCAGATTCCTGGCTGGGGACCCTCCTTTCAAAGACATTCAGATTTCAAATACTCGACACTAATGCTAATACTCAGCACTAATCAGCTCAGCAACTGAACAGGAATGATGCCACAGGGACACAAAACTAATGCACAGAACAATGCATGTATTGTGTGAAAAGATATCTTAAGTGCAGGATGGACAATATTATTGTTAGCAAGAGACACGGTTGATTGAATTGCCATTATCCCCAAAAACTCAATACATGGCTCAGCTTGTATCACTCAATAAATATCAGCTTGTATCAACACAAGTAGAATGCCAACGATCTGTCTTAGGTTTTGTGTTATATTTGGACTTTAAACAAAGCAACCTGGGAACATTTATCAAATTTGCAGATGACACAGAACTAAGTGACTAACAGTACAAAATGCAGAATCAAGGGCAGAATTCAAAACAATTCTGACAAATGGAACCCTGGACCCAAAGCTATTCAGATGAAATTCAAGAGAGAAATGTAAAGTTCTAACAACTTGAATAGTAAAATATCAGAACTGTAAGGCCAGCTAGGATACAATAAATGTAAAAAGAATTTAATTTTCCTTGTGGCTCACAAGTTGAACACAGTCCTTTTCAGTCAGGGTTAAAACCCGAGCATGGAAAGTTGGGGACTGAACCCGCATTGCTACTCTTGTAGGTTACTGATGATGATGTTTTAAAAGGGGGAGAGTGACCCTATAGTATTCCTCTGTATGGTCAGTTGAGGTGGGGGGGGACTAGATAAGCTGTAGAGCTCTTCTATATGGGGGTAGAGACCTGGAGAGATGACCTTGAAGCAAATATTCAGCAGCCATCAATAAACAAAAAAACAAACAAACAGAAGCATTCTTTATGTTCTGGGAAGGGAGAGAGTATTTAGAAGAGGCTTAAAATTCCCTGATTCACTAGAGTATAAGCGGAAGGGGAGAAAAAACACAATCAGACTCTCAAGATTTTGTTACTATAGCCTATCTTGATAACGCACAGTTCTAGTCTTCCTGTGGTGTTACTTTCATGCCCTGGTTTACCTTGTAATGGGCTAGTAATGAGATGCCACAGGCTCTCTCCTATCTTATGTAACATAAACACACTGGAAAATTTGTTCAAGTATTTAAAGTAAGGTATTGCAGAGACCATAGAGATGATCTTGGAGAAACTAAGCTGAGATGATGGTTGCAACAACATGTTGCCTGAGAAACAGAGAAAGTGTGAGAAAGAAACTGAGACTGACTACTCACTAATTCACTAGTATAAAAGGGAGGGAGAGAAAAACTCAGTCAGGGTTTCAAGATTCTGTTGCTATAACTTATCTCAATAAAGTCTAGTTCCAGTCATTCATGGAGTCTTTTTTTCTGTCATGATTTACCTCATAGATATCATCACTATGCAGATGATACTCAGTGTTACATTTGTACTTCAGAATGTGTGGGTGATGCAATAAAAGTCTTGACCTGTGTCTGGAGGCTATTTTGGCCTTGATGGAGAGAAACAGGTTTAAAGTCAAAGTTAATAAAATAAGGCAGTTATGGCTTCAGAAGCAATTTTATTCTGAGAGGAGGAGGTACCATCTTTTGCTCTAGACAAAGATTTGTGGTGAAATATTGCTGCTTAAAATGGTAATGTGGTATTTGGCTGTGTTAAAAGAAGCACAGAGTACAAGGTCTTAAGAACTAATTATTTACTTCTATTCTACACTGGTCAGGCTGAAGGCATATCACCAAGTCCAGTTTTAATGTTACATTTTAATAAGGATTTGAAGAATCTGGAAACTGAGTTTTACAAGTTATGGCCCAATGACTAATATATTTTTAGTCTTTAGAAGAGTATACTGAAAGAAGACATGATCTAGACATGATAGTCTAAGTATTTGTTTATTTAGAAAATTTATATGGCCACTGAGCTTGTTCCTACGGACTTTGGGTGGCTTATAAAAATAAAACCCCCAATACAAAAGCTAATTTGAAATCTGAAGTGTTAAATTAAGCAGAGGGCAGATCAGATGTATCTTCTATTGTTTTAGAAAGCAAGATTAAAAGCATTACAAAGGAAACTGAAGATTTTGCCTAAGCATTAGTGGAAACTTCCAGATAATAAAATGTATTCAGCACTACTTCAGAAAATGAGGATTTTTCTTCATTGGACAATCCACTATTTTTCCCCAATGAATAAGACAAATTCACAAAACCATTTTGTAATAATTCGTATTAAACCTGACACAAATCTTCCTCTAATTTTTAATTAAAGTAGCTATAAATCTAATTTAAATAATCTTCTGACTGCTAGTTGGTGTTCATGGACACAATCTGCTAGTCTTTTGCCTGCCTGTCTTATTTAATGTCTGTTTGTCCTTTGACTCTTTATTATAGATGACTCCTGTTTTTTATTCTTGGGCTACTGGAACTTTTGATTTACTTAAGATATTTTGGAGGCTTTAGTTACTTGCTCCTGAGATTTTTTTGACATATGACAATGTTAGCCTTTTTATAGCTTGCATTGACTGTGTTGAAATGGGTTGAGTGGCCAGGCATTTTTTGATAAAGTTGTGTGGGTATCCATTTTGTTGGAAAGTGTAGTGATGGTCTGTTTCCTTTTGCTGGTGGTCTGGGTTGCTCCAGTGCATTTGTATTCAAATGATTTGAATAAAGTTCTTACACAGCTCCCCTTGCAGGAGGTTGCATTGTTACTTTGATAGTGAAGCACTTGGTTAGTGTGGGTAAATTTTTGATAGAGATCTGTTTCTAATTTGCTGCCATTTCCTGTGCTGATGAGGACATCCAGGAAGGGAATGTGTTGTTTTCTTCTTCCCTTGTGAATTTAATCCTTTGAAGACCACGCTGATTGTTTTAGGTGTCTTCTCTAATTGTTCCTTTTTTATTACAACAAAGGTGTCATCTACATACTGGATCCATACTTTGGGTTGTATGTGTGGGAATGCTATAGTTTCTAAATTCTACATTACCCTGTCTGCTATGAGTCTTGAGGGTGTAAGCCCAAAGGTGACCCACTAATTTATTGCTGTAGTTGTCTATCAAATTGAAAATAGCTAGTGAGTCAAAAGTTGATGAGATCCATGATTCTGAGTTTTTCAATCTTAGTATATTTAGTTAGATTGGATACATTGTGTAGTATTGCTGCCATGGATTTTTTTTTGTTTTGCTAGTTCTGGGTCTATGGATGTAGAGTGCTGTAACACTAAATGATACCATTATCTCACCTTCTCCTATTATTATTATTATTATTATTATTATTATTATTATTATTATTATTATTATTATTATTATCTCCTATTTTCTGAAGATGCTTTAGTGAAGAATTGATATCAATATTTATCTCCTGGTTGTCATGGCAAAGAATCTCCTCTGTTTCCTGCAAAGCATCCTTTTGACTCTCCATAGAGCTTCACTCACTTTTAATTCAAAACCACTACCATTCCTCTTCAGGCCTTCTATAATATTTGAATCTTTGAAGAAGTAAGTGTGAGGCTCCTTTGAGGACCCATCTCTATTGAGAGTGAGACCTTTGTATCTTCAGACAAAGTGATTTTAGCTATGGCCTAAGATGACATCAGCACATGGTGGCTTATTGATAAAGTAGTGCAGAGATAGTCCTGGATTTACCTTGGCTTAGGAACCTACATCCTCCCTTTTGGAATTCATGAGACAGGCAGATTCTGTATAATGCATGCAGTCTCACAAATACACAGATTCTGATCCATGAAAGGCTTTAAAAATGATAGCTAGCAGTGGGGCTTCTGGTTTGAGTTCCTTTGGCAACAGACAGAAATCTGCAATCATGCGCAGTTTCAGTCTGGGCTTGCCGCTGGAGTGCCCCGAGCCGGCTGGTTTCGGGGCTAAGCCACCCCATAGAGATGGTGAAGAGGGGGGAGACCACCAGCAGGGTTGAGGAGAGCCGCATCTCTCCTCCTCAGCTGGCCATTACTCCCTTTCCTGAAGGCGGTTGCAGCGGTGCTCAGAAATGGCCACCACAAAGAAGAACTCGACCAGAAAAGAATGTGCAGGAGGAAGATAAGAAGTGAAAGTTTTGGCTGACCGGGTTAAATTGCAAAAGTAACAACTAAGGTACCTTGGAATCTAAATTTACAAAAAAATAACATCACTCCCAAAGAAGAGTCGGAAGCAGCAAAGGAAAGTGAAAAGGGAAAGATTTGGGTTTTTTTCCTTCTCTCCCTTTCCCTATACTGACAACTAAGAGACTTAAATAAGAAATCGGAAAAATCCGCTTTGACATCAACAGGCAATTAAGCTGAAAATAAAATAAAATGTCAAAGGGATAATAAAGATTTCTGGACACTAATTTTTTTTTTTCATAAGTAGGAAGGGAGAGAAAAAGAATAATAAGGGCAGGATCTGGAAAGAGGGAGGAGACTGCCTGGAATTAAAAAGAATCTACAGTAAAACTTCAACAAGATTCTAAAAGATACATTTTAACTGAAACTCTGCAACTAAACAGTAGAACCCCAGGAAGAGAAAGTGAAAAAAAAGCAAAAAGAAACAGCTTGCGTGTATTTGGATTACTTGGTGATCTTTGGATTTTTGGTTATTGCATTTGAATGACTAAAATTAATCGGGTGGTTGTTTAAAAATTTATACAATGGCACCACTTCTGGATGAATTGAAAATGGAACTTAAAAAGTATAAAGAAGATGCACAAGAAGGGAGAGGTTCTTTTGGCTTCATTTTTTCAATTCTTAGAAATGGAGATTTGGAACTATGAGAAACAACAAGAAACGTTTGTAAAACAAGAAGGCTGGGACAAAGAAAAAGCCATCTTTAATGAACAAGTAATTCTATGTGGGGAAGAAAAAGGAAAGGGGGGGAAAGAGAATGGAGAATTTAAGACTTAAAAAAACAACCAAAGAAAAGAAAAATAATTCAAAAAATAAGTATAATACTGGAAAGCAACAGAAGAGGGGAATACAGAAGAGAGAAATAGAGGTAGAAAGACAAGGGGGTAAAAAGGGGAAAGAGAAGAGGAGGGGGAAGAAGGAAAGGAAAAGAAGTTACAAAGGACCGGAACAAGGTATAGAGAAACAGGACCTATTTAGAGATAATGGGTGAAATTTTAACTGAAAAAGGGATTCTGTAAAGGTACATAAGATTGTATTGTTATATTAGTAATAGAAATAACTTTAGAAAATTGGAAACAATGTATGATTAAAATGAGGGATAAAATAGTTAGTCTAATTTAGTGAAGTGTTTGTTAGTAAAATAAGTGAAATAAAATAAATGAGAAAATTGAATTTTGAAGGGATGGGAACATTTTAATTGGTTAATGTTTTATAAAATATAATGAAGGGGGGAATTAATTAATTATGGAAAGCTTATAATTGTTCCCATAGAAATATGATATTTAATTGAAAAGTAATATTAAAGAAGTTAAGATTTTAATATTAACATTAATGATAGAATTGAATTGAAATGGAATGTGTTGTTTTAATTACATATATTTATTAAAAAAATTTTTTAAAGAATATAGTGTGTATTTTAAGAATGTACCAAGCAGAATCCGAATGGAAGTTATGTATTATATTGAATGTTATAACTTTAGGGTATATATTGAAGCCTAAATAAGAGTTAAATGGATAAACTTAAAAGATATAAAGGCGTCATACTCCAATCAGTAACTTCAGGAGAAACTTTGTTTAATGAGAAAAAATAATAGATAATTGAAACAGGACAGATAAAAAATATAAATATAATGATTTGAATTGAGATGAGATAATTAAAATAAAATTGAGAAAATTAAAAGAGGGGAGAAGATATACAGAAAATGTAAAACAGTAATAAGATATGGAATAGAACATAAAAAATGAACAGGAAATTGAATTTGTGTCTGTACGAAGAAATGTAACCCGGGATTACGCTACTTTCAAAAAAGATGTTTTATTTGTATTTTTTGTTTTGTGAAAACTCAAATAAAATTAAAAAAAAAGATAGCTAGCAGCTTAAATTGTAGCCAATAGCATGTTGATAATTAGGGCAGCTCCTGTAAAGCTATTATGTAGATGCAATGAGTCAAACTGCTTACAACCTGGGTTGATGCATTTGGGCCAACTAAAGTTTCTAGATGATCTTCAAGGGCGATTTCATGTGCAATTAATTGCAGTTATCCAAACATGAAGTGATAAGGACATCACTAACGATAGAGCCTCTTGATTCAGAAAATATCCCAACTTATGCATAAGGCACAGCTGTGTACAAGCCCACCTGGACATGGCCTTCATTTGCCCTTAAAGAGGGGAGCCATGACTGGGAACTAACTCTGCATAGGAGCACAATTGTGCCCCAAACTAAAGACAAAGTTATTTACATTATAAGATGGCTTCCAAATCAGTAGTGTCTTGGGGATTAAATCTGAGTTTGATTACATGCCATCCAGATACTAAAAGCCTCCAGAATGTCACCTATATATTGATGGTACCACATTCAATGCCAAGGGATGGTCTTCCATGTCATTTTCATGTAGTTGTTAAATAATTTGGACATGAAGGTAGAGCCCTCAGGAACCTACAATACAGAGCCTCTACATTTCACTCTCATCCATCCACAAGTGCAGTGGTTCTCAGCCTGTGGCCTATGGACCCTTAGGGGCCACAAAGGCTTCAAGAAACATTATGATTTAAATTTTGAGTTACGTCTTTGTGGTGCATGATTATGATCCTTGGCTGTAAAAGGTATTTAAAGGGGGTCTGTGGTGAAGAAATGGTTGAGAACCACAGCATGAGTGCAAGTATGCTCAGGGAAGAAAAGAATCCATGTATAACAGTGTCCCTCCCAGGGGTGAGATCCTACCAGCTTAACAACCAATTCAGTGAGAGCGCACTGCATGTGCATGTGCAGTACTTGCAAAAATACATCTCCTGCAAGCAATCACCATCTCCTGCTGACACGTGGCACTCAGCTGTGCTGCACAAAGCAACTAAGGTAAAAATAAAGGACAGCCTTAGAGCCCAGGCGGGTGGGTGGGCCCAACCGAAGAAAAGACCTTCAGAGAGAACTGTTCGGTGTCAGCTGCTCTTCAGAGCTACCGATTCTATAGAACAGGGCTGAACCGGTAGAATCCCAACCCTAGTCCCCCCACACTTATCCCCCCCATAGGCAATCCAAAGGGATACTATGACCTCTGGCATTGGATGTTGCACAGAGGGTGGGGAGGGTTACACTTCTCCTATCCTGTCCTGCCATAGGTCACCAACATAAGCTATCGGTGCTATCTGGGTCCCATATCTAGGCCTCAACCCCAATGAACATTAATTAAACATGAACACAAACAACGGAAATTTAGTTAAGTTCCATTCACAAACCTAAACAAATCACACCGGCATCTTTTTTGTGTCCACAATTATGGCTCTTCTTGGATAGACAGTCCCATAGATACAATTCGTTCCCCAAGCATTTCACTTCATTCATATGGACGGGTCTTGTCCCATTTTGGGAATGAGAGCCACTGAGAGCCTCAGCGGCTGAACCACAACCAAGTTGCTGACACACAACTTCAGCATCATCCAGGTCCCATTTGTCACCACATACTGTGCCCCAGATACCCATGACTTCCAACTCGACTCTGCCTGAACAGTTGCTTCCTCCATCCATCAGACGTAATTTTTTAATTTCTGCAAGATAAGAAGTTGAGATATTAAAGACAATCAGAAGTCGTGCATCTTGAATTGCAATGTAAGTCTTGACAATGTCAATCAAAAAACATAGTGTAGCTATTATGATTTTTTTTTTTTGACAAATTTTTGGAGATGGGGAAGGATGGAAGAGCTGTGGGATAGTTAGAAATACGTGTATGAAACATGATAACTGCATGATGAAAGTTTCACCTGGAACCATTTCAAACTGGTGTGAAACATGTAATACTTTGAGGATTTCTGAAATAAATGGATAAATGCCTAAGAACAGAGTCCATGGACTTTTTGCCAACTGCTATTTGAAACGAATAATTCTTGAGCCAGTGGAGAACAACACAGGCATGACATTTGCTGCCACCGTTATTGATCTCTGTTCTGCCTATACCACTTTTGTTTCATGTCACTGTCAGTCATTTGCCTTCCCACTGAGGCAATAGGGCACAAAGCCTAACATATTTCATACATTCTTGATGGTGTAGGAATAAGGAAGGAAAACACAATGTTAGTAACAATACAGCTAAGGAGAGTTTACGTATGTCCCTCGCATGGGCTGGGGACAAGTTGGAGGCTCTATCGCAACAAGAACATGTTGCAAGGGTATATTTATGCCATAGTTATGTACAAGTGGAAGAAAGCTCTAAATGACTATAGAAAGAAGACAGTAGTTTATCTGTATTCCACTTCATACTATCTTATAACCATTCAATGTACGATGAATTATCCATAAGATATTTTCCTTTTCTAATTTCCTATTTGCAGGCAATTACTTGATAGCGATAGTTCCATTTATGCCATGAAGTTTTACTGGCCATCCCAGCAGTAATAGTATGGCACTACATTTATCCCTCCCAGCAACAGAAGTTTAATATTCATTCATCAGTGTCTGCACATAACAGCAGAATGAAGTGATGGTAAAGTGAGTATCAGATGATAAGCAGTTGACTTTTTGATAGCTTTGTCATGTATCAAAGTTCCTGCTGATAAAAAAAAAACCTACCCATTAGAAAAAAGCTTATTTAAAGTTGACTCTATTGCAGTGTTTCCCAACCTTGGCAACTTTAAGAAGTGTGGACTTTAAGACCCAGAATTCCACAGCCAGCATAGGTGACACATCTTAAAAAGTTGCCAAGGTGGAAAAACACTGCTCTCTCTTTTTTTTTTAAAGATCAGAGGGTGTGGAGAATGTGAAATGCTATAGCCCATTGTTTCTCTTTCAGGTATCATCATCCAATTCATTCTGTGCTGATTGTGTCAGCCATCTCAAGTACAAAGAAATCAATTGTTTTAACCGCACTAGGGGATCCATCTGAAATATGTTCTGAAAACATCAGAATCCAATTGTCGGGAAATCACTCCAACCTGAATTTTAGCTGAGAGACATTTTCATGATAATGAGGCGCAGAGGATGGCAAAATGTCTTGAGGATTTGAGAGGGCTTTTGTCCCCTCTTCCAGTTAAGAGCAATATACAGAAGCATACCTCCTCCATTTCGAAAGAAGTTGTTTAAATGCTTAAAAAATGCTTTCCCTTACTTTAGATGGCACTTGAGCATAAAGCAGCAAGCAACGAACAATTTTGCTTTCTACCAGAGCTTTTAATAGCTAAGCAGGTATGAAACTACTATGGAGAAGAGGCATATGAGAGAACTGTATATTATGATTCACCGCCCTTGTATCACAAATACACATTCTTCAGTTGGGTTGATAAAATGAATGCTCTCAGGTGGATTAACTATTAGCGAGTCCACAATACAGGTAGTCCTCGACTTACAACACTTCTGTTGTGATTGTTCAAAGTAAATAATGGCATTGAAAAAAAGTGACATGACCATTTTTCACACAACCATTGCCACATCCACATGACCACCTAATCAGAATTGAGACACTTGGCAACTGGTTGCAATGTCCTGGGCTCATGTGATCGCCTTTTGTGACCTTCTGATGAAAGCCAATAGGGAAACCAGTATCAGTTAACAACTGTGTTACTAAATTAACTACTGAGTGATTCACTTAACAACTATGGCAAGAAAGGTCATAAAATGGGGCAAAACTCACTTAACAAATGTCTCCTTAGCAATGGAAACTTTGGCTCAATTGTGGTCATAAGTCAAGGACTACTTCTATCCCAAAATGGAATCTGCCAAGGACCACACCAGCTTAGGTTGTGGTAGAAATCCCCAGCACCACCCAATGGGTCCCCAAAAAGGTCACTAAAAAAGAAATAAAAACCACTCTCCCTCCCTCCCTCCCCGCCCCAGTCCTCTTATCGGTGAGGTTGGGTAAACACAAACTACCACCCACACAGCTTCCTGCCTCTTTGATAAAAAATGTCACTGAGGTGAGTGTGCATGGAGCACAGGTGACCTCAAATACCACTGCTGAGGTAGACGCCTCTGCCTGGGAAGAATCCCAGTGGGGCACTTAACTATTTTTGTCCAGCAGATTCCCAGGTACACACTGATTGCTACTGCACAACTGAAAATAGGGGTTGCATTCCTGGAAAACACCAGCATAATTTCTCATTCGGCAGTTCATTTTTCAAACAGGAAAACAGATTAGATTCCTTGGCAATCAGGAAGAGATGGGACGGATGTAGCAAAAATTGGTCAGCCCGTCCCCATCTGATCTCTATGACATGGGTTTTGGAAAGCAATGACAGGGCCAGGCAAACTTCTAAATCAATGATACATCATCATATTTTGGAATGCTATTGTTCTGAAGAGTCTATCTTCCATCAACGATCAGAATAAAGCAGTCAGACGAAGGAGATGCCTGGGAGAACCATACAGCTCATTCTGTGCCCCTGAAGAAATTTATTCCTCTAGGAATGACAGTGGCGCATGGGACATTAAAACTTGGAATTTAAGAGAAAAAGAAGCAGAGAAAATGCAGAGTGAATAAGAAGTTCTTTTGGAAGTGGAGAAGAATAAGCAAGGAACAGCCAGTAGAGAGAATAGAATTGAAAATGAAGTGATAAAGGATTTGGGATGAAGCTGAACTAAAACAATGCCAGAAGGAGTCTTTTAAAGATTTGAATGTGAATTATAGACACATTAGTCTACACTACTAGCTTGCCTTGGCATGAGCCTAGTCCACTGGCCATTCCTCAAGGAAAGGACTGTGTGATGTTGTTTCCTTTCTCCAACGCCAGGTCCACCAGAAAGGCAACCTCTGCACACCATTTCCTGCTACACCACCTAAGTAGTGTTTTAAACTTGTGTCAGTCCACACATTTTTCTATTAGCGGAGACAAACATCTCCATTCCGTTTGGTTGTTGAGTATAGTGACAGGAGCAATTTCCAATCACTGCCATCCATGGCCATATTATTTTTACAAGTTCACCAATGAGAAAGTGAAATGGGTTGCTTTGTCTTTGATAAGTTCAGTAATGGAACAGTGAAAGAGAAGTTTTTCCTTCTCTTCCTCTTCCTCCTCCTCCTCCTCCTCCTCCTCCAACTGGAAAATGTTCTGCTACTTTTCCCTTCTGACTCTAGTGATAAGAAAAAATAATAGAACTGTAGAGTTTTCCTCTTTTCCCATTGGAGAGATACTGATGGAAAAAAGTCAGCTATAAGGGAGAATCAATGGAGAAGGTTCACTTAAAAGAAATGATGTATTTTCAAGGAATCCCCTACAGAAATGAAAGTGATTCAAACTTGTTTCCCTGACAAAGATGGAAAAAATACAGGGAGGTCCATCAATCAGGGCTCATGGTAAATCCAGGGAAAGTGTATCAGGCTATCATCTTGGCCAAAACAGAAAAAATTCAGAAAGGTGTTTCTTAAGCCTGCTTCATTTCCCGTCATCTTATGAATAGAAACAGAACAGCTTTAAGGTTTTAGTACAGAAAAGCCATAACAATAAATTAAGGAAATGTAGGTCATAAATGCTGTGGAGAAGTTGAAAAATGGTAAATATGCAGATATAGAGTAGTGTAATTTGAAATATATTATAATTCATAAATGATTTGCTTATGGAATGGCTGAGCAACTACTGGTAGTAGTATTGCACAAAGCTTGCATATATGCCTATCAACCTGGAGAATGATGTTACAGGTAACCCTCGACTTATGACTACAACTGAGCCCCCAAATTCTGTTGCTAAGCGAGATGTTGTTATGTGAGTTTTGTCCCATTTTATGATTTTTCTTTCCATAGTTGTTAACTGAACCACTGCAGTTGTTAACTTAGTAACAACTTGCTGTATTTTTTGCTCCATAAGACGCATCTAGGTTTAGAGGAGGAAAACAAGAAGAAAAATATTCTGAACCAGAGCCTGACAGGTCCTATCATCTTTATAGCAAAACACACCATAGGTTTAAAAAGGTTCTTTCCAAATAAAGTTTTCCCTCCCATGTTTTTACCTGGTTCTACAGTTGTGCTGCTGCTGCTGGTATTACTAAGAGCAGGAGGTTCACTTGGCTTAGGCTGGGCTGAAATTAAAACAGAATTTAAAATGAAATATCACCAATATGTCACCACAGTAAACCACTTCCATCCTTAACCTAAAATGATAGAACAACCATCAATAATCTGTAAGAAAGCTGCTGTATCTAATTTAGGACTTGTTCAAATTTGAGAAATAGTATTTAGTACATTTTGAGTAATAAACTCCTTTTTAAAAAGAACCCTAATCTTACAGTTGGAATATTTTGAAGGCTTTTCCTAGTAGCCAGTACTATTTGTTCAATAGGGATCAAATTGGTCTTATATGCATAAAAGCTTTCAATTCCTCTAGCATTCAATCGGGATCCAAACATTTGAGAAGCTAGCAATTATGTTTCTGAACAGGGAAATGGGTGGCATAATAAACATATTAAATATAAATATAGTAATTATTTAATTAAGAAATAACTAAATAAAGCACAAATATTAAGCATTTAATAGAGATACTTTCTAGAGTGAGGTGGATGGCATATTAATTTAACAAATAAATAATAAAAACTACAAAACAACATAATAATGTATAAAAGGTAGCAATTAAAATGGTAACAATTCTTGTCGCTTTTTTCCCCAAGAAATATTTTAACCTGTTTCAAATTAAATTCTGGTTCATCATGTCACGAGAAGGAAAATCAGGAAACTGTGTCTCATTTTCTTTGGTCCATGCAAAGCAGGGGAATTCACTGGAGAAAGCAATTATGTTTGGAAGAGTTAGCAGTAAAAGAAAACCAGGCCGTCAAAGAACATGGGGGCTGAACACCATCAAAGCAGACACCAACCAGAGCACAGAACAACTCAAAGAAATAATAAAGATCGGAAGATGTGGAGAGACTTGGCCCAGAGAATTGCCAAGAGTTAGACATGAATATCATCATCATCATCATCATCATCATCATCATCATCATCATCATCATCATCTATTTACATGAAATAGTGCTCATTTTAAAAATGAAACTGCAGTAGAAGTTCATATTTATTTTAAATATTTTCTATTTCTGATTTTTATTCTAGTTTGCCTGCTGCTCAGAACCAGAGATATTTTGAAAATGAAGTGCTAATCTATTATGAGAGAGTACTAAATAATTAAATACTGCATTTGATTTAGTCAATAATTCCTGCAACCTTACTCCAGAATAAATGTATTCATCATTAGGTCGTTTTTTCCTGCAAATGGTTCAGAGTGGAACCTCTTTAAAAATGACCACATCAACTGACCTTGTGACTCCAAGCAGTGCCCCAATAAGACCTATTAAATTATCAGAGCTCTACCAAGCAGAGCTTAATGAAATTATTTTTAGAGTATATTGGCTATTCTCTGCCATTTGATACCCCTGTTCCATTCAGTCCATTATCAATGGCACTCTGCAAATAGAATACTGTATCTGTTTATGTTGACTAGGTGTACATCATTCAGAGATGCATTTTTGAGATGGCTGGATAGATGATAGATTAGATTAGATTAGATACACGGACGGACGGACGGACGGACAGACAGACAGACAGGCAGGCAGGCAGGCAGGCAGGCAGATACTTATAATCTCCAGACAACATGGATAAATCAGCTAATGAAAGATGGATGGGTAGAAAATGCACCATCCAACTGGGTGCTTGGCAAAGCAATTATTCTCTATTTTTTTCTATCAGCAAAGAAAGAGAATTTGCTTTAGATAGACATCTCTTTCAAAGGAGAGGAGGACTTTCCCAGAGGTGGAATATTCTTTTTTAAATTGATTTCTGTTAAATACATTTCTTAGTGCTTAATGTCTGGGTATTTAATGTGCTTAACAATACAAATCTACATTCTTAATCTCCACCTGTTTTTCCAACCATTGGTAAAATAGATTCCATGTTTGATAATATTCTATATCTTCTTTCTGTTTAGTTTTCAATGTCAATCTATCCATTCTGTGCAATCTAGTATCTTCCTGACTATCTCTTCATCTCGCAGTATATCTTTATGTTTCCAATATTGTGTGAATAATCCTCGCTGCTGTTAAGACATGTAATATTACATACATTCTTTTCTTATCAATTTTTTCCTGATATTATACCTAATAAAAACAACTCAGGTTTAAAATCTATGTTTCCCTATCATCTTTTCTAGCCACCTATGTATCTTTGCCCATTTTTTTTTTTTTTGCTTTTACGGCAAAACCAGAGGTGGAATATGCTTGTAATTCTGCATTTAAATGCTGGCCATAAAGTTGATGGAAATTTATATATTTTCCCTAGTGATTTTACATCCTCCCTGGCTTCCCACACTTCCATTAAATTCCAAGAGAAGGCCCAGGAAAAAAATCATCCAAGGTAGGCTGTTTAATATTATTAGTGCTAAAGGGGAGTCTGCCCTTGAGGAACAATTGGAGTTTTTTCTCTTCTTATTTCAGGTAAATCATGGCAGGTTTTAGCTTCTATTTTCCTGTACCAATCCCCCCCACCCTCTTTACTATTCAGATGCTATCGCTCTTTATTAACAACAAAGCAGGTCCCAGTGGGAGATCATTCAGAATTTTTTGCAGTTAGCATCTGAACTCAAACTAAGTATATGCATGATCTGAAATTAATTTAAATGACTGATATGACTTGAATGGCATTTCTACAGAGTATGCAAATATGCATGCATTGTGGAAAGTAGGTTTTATGAAAATTAGTTCTGAGGTTGTCAGGGAAAGTGAGAGCAAATCTGACCATTGCAAAATCAGATTGAAATAGGTCAGCTCACTCAAAAGAGGAGGCCAAGTCGTCCGCTATTTAGAGCAGGGATAAAATGAAACTCAAGAAGGTTTCAACATTCTTACTATAATTAAGTTGGACAACTGAAATTCATAGAGTGGTGGCTTTCCATTTTTTAAAAAAATAAGTAATACTTATCCATGGTTCTTTTAGAATTTTTTTTGTCACCTTCCCTGCATGATTCCAGTCCAGTGTGATTGGGAGAGAACTAAAACCAGTTTGGTGTAGTGTTGAAGGTGCTGGCCTAGAAATCAGAAGACTGTGAATTCTAGTTCTGCCTTAGGCATGAAAGCCAGCTGGGTGACTTTGGTCCAGTCACTCTCTCCCAGCCCAACCATCACATACAAATAACCAGATCCACACATATAGAGTATAAATTAACTACTTTATTGTTCAATGTCTATTTCACTGCAATCTTTTCACGCTGGCAATTTGCCTCTGAGAAAAACTAGATAAAGTTCAAAAACATTCAAGAGAGGGCAGTTCTTGCCTTCTTGCAAATAGCAATTCCAGACTGATCCCTGCTTGATCTTTCCTCCTGTCTGGAACAGGCTCTGTAAGACATGGGCCTGAGGACAAGATCAAATGCATCATCAGTCTGCAGTCCCTACGTCCCCTAAAGGTACCTAAGTCCAGCCCCCCTTGAAGTCCATTGACGCTTATCTGCCACCAATTTGCCTTGACCATTAGTAGATCAGATTTTTGTATAGGCTGCATGGGAATAAACTTGTAGCTATTTTTGAACTCTATCCTGCGTCCTGCTTTCTCGTGCCAGAGAGTCTCTCTTTGACACCAGCTCACCTCACAGGAGTATTGTTGTAGGAAGAATAGAAAGCAGGAACATTACAAATGTCCTTTTTTGTAAAGGTGTGATATAAACCTAAGGTTAATTTTGCTCTCAGAATTAGAAAAAACATTTCATGTTAGTACAGCATCTATAATACAGAAGGAAATTTTTTGAATTTATTGATCTGAAGCAAATCACCATGTTAGTATGCTAAGTACAGTTTCTTTGTAATCTTTCATTTCTTTTACATTTTAGATCTAACAACACATATGTTGTATTTAATCTTACAATTATAAAAGCTTATATTAACAATTATTTAAAAACTAATTAAACATTTACTGATCTAAAGCACATTACCACCTTAGTACATTAAACAGTTTCTCTGTAATCTTTCCTCTGGACTAAAGAAACACTACATATTTCATTTAATAAGTTTACAGTGACTTACTTTATATTAACAGTTACTTAGAAGACAACTAATTAAACTGGTAAATGAAAAAGTGTTTGTGTTTATTTTTTCACCTGGTTGGCTTCCATCCTTTAAAACAGCATCCCCCAATCTTTCCGGCTGGGTAGACCAGTGGAGGTGGTGGCAGCAGAGGGGTGGGGAAGAGGGTATGGTTTTGTGCATGCACACTGCTTTCACAAATGCAGTTTTGTCTGCATACACACTCACCCACTACTTCTGTGGCCTGGTTCTGAATGGGCTGTGGCCCGACACCCGGCCATGGACCAGGGGTTGGGGACCTCTGCTTTAAAAGGCAGCTGAAAGCTTGTAAAAAAATCAAATAGTGGGGGACCCCATCAACTTAAGACAGTCTACTAAACCTCATCATCTTCGTGTTGAAAGTAACACCATCCCACATTTCTTTGACTGGAAAATCAAGTGAGTCACAAGTTCTCCTGGAAAGGAGAAAGCAAATGACGTTCCCCCCCTTTTTTGGTCAATACTACCACAGATTCTTGAAAATGGGCATCTTCTCCTCTGATATTTCTTTTAACTTAGATTGATGGCAATACATGTTTCTCTTTGAAAAAAACTTAAAACAGAATATTTTCTCTGGAAGTGCAGCAGGGCTCAGTCAGTAGTAGTCTAGCAGCAACTAATAAATTTCCCAACAAATAAATTTCATTAAAAGGCATAAGCTGCAGCTCACAAAAGCTTATGCTTTTTAATAAAAATTGCTAAAAAAATTTATTAAAAGTACTAAAATAAAAATTCAGAGAAAGTACTACCAGACTCTCCTGATTTTTGCCACCAGCAATGGACATGGTTCTCCTCCCACAGCAGCTCCATGTCATCTTAGCTTCCAGAGAGATGTGGCAAGTAATGCACACATAGCTTTCTGGGGCCAAGTAATACTGCAGCCTTCTTTGGATTTACACTTCCAGAAGGAAATCTGTGGCCCTTGAAATGTTGCTGGACCATCACCAACAATCCAGAATGACTGGAGTCAGTTTGCAAGGACA